GCAATATTCATTCATTTTCACAGAGTTTATTTAACCTTCATAATCCTGTGTTGATGTGGAATGAAGGAAAATTGACACAGTGGGAGAGGAGGAAGAGGTGGAAAAGGAGGAAGGGGAGGGCTTGAAAAGGGTGAGAGGAAGACGAGGGGAAAAATAATAAATTAGTTGTCTAACGTTACAAGGGATGAACTCAATATATCTATTACTTAAAGACTAACTGACTGTGAAAGTGCTCATTTCACGAGAGACAGGGCAGTGAGCTGGCGGGTACTCATGGGGTTCGGAGGCTGCTGCTCTTACCCAACCCTCCCCTCCCCCTTTTGCTCCCCCCGGCCCACCTCTCTCTGTCTCAGCTTTGATGTTTCCCCTTTCAGTGTTAACAAACTCTGGCCATGTTTCCATCTTGCTCAAACACAACAGCGGGCGCAGATTGGATGCCCAACTAAATAACCTCCGCACACAATGACACCAGAGGATCGATCTGGACTTTCATGGTCACTGCCACTACTCATACAATCGGTGTGTGTGTGTGTGTGTGTGTGTGTGTGTGTGTGTGTGTGTGTGTGTGTGTGTGTGTGTGTGTGTGTGTGTGTGTGTGAGTACAGGCCGTTCATTGAGTAGAAAACAAATGTGGACAACAGGATGGTGCAGAAAGGAAGGAAGAAAGGCGTAACAAGAGTGATGGAGGTGTGGGGAGGGGAGATGGATAATGGTTCAATTCTAATCCAAACACTATTTTTCTCTCCTTAACGACAGATTTCATGGTGCGGCCAAATGTTTGACTGAAACAGCTGAGTGCTGCTGATGCAAGAGCATCGCACTTGCCAGATCAGCTGGCCCCCTTTTGAGGTGAAAGACAGTTGTTATTGAACCTCATTGTCCACATTGGTTTGCCTCTCAGCTGGGGTCATTGATGCTTGGACACGGGCGTGATGTGTAGCGTCACGCTGCAGCCTACCGACCACCGCCCTCTTCCCAGTCACAACAACTGTAAGCAAGGAATAATAAACGGCAGCTTTGTGGGTAGTCAAGCATTTTATTTCTAGATTTCCAGAATTGTCAGTCAAACACAATCAAAATATTGCACAGCAATGCAAATGCTGAGTAATATTTTCTTTCGCAACTTCTGTATCCTATCGCTCATTTCCAGAAAATTGCATCAATAATGTTGAAGATATTGCCCCCTGAATTTCACTTTGAAAGTCAATTTTGTTGAAATGAGTGTTTGGATTATTGCCAGTTGCAAAAATGCAAAAATGGCAGATGCAAATTTAAAAAAAAAAAATTAAAAAAGGTTCCAAAGTAAACATTTTTTTCACTTTAATGTCAAAATGTATTTACCATTATGGTTCCCAAATGAAGTTTTGTGACTTTTTTTGATGATACCAATTACTTTTGGGACACAGAGGATTTTGATCTTTTTGCTTAAAATATATTTTCCCGAAACACGAACACAAATGCATCTTAAGAAAAGTATGTTCAGAGTTTCTTTTTTTCGATTCTTTTAAAAATGGTTCCTCTATCTCACGAAAGCTATCTTCACTGTCAATGCCCCTGTTGAGAACCTCTGCAACTTCAGATCAGATATCATGTGCCAGTTTACAGCAGCCATTTTGCAGTCACATGAAGGGCAAAACATGCAAATTGTGCAACTTACATTTTTATAGAGCTGTTTGTGTCTTTACCGTTATACAAGTTTGTCTTTCCTTTTTTGCAAAGAAATGTACTTTGGTGGGCCACCACCATTTCTTCTTTCAAAGCTGTGGCAGAATTTACATCAGGATAAAAATGATGTAGAACTTTTCCAATTCTGGGTGTGCCTTAACCTTTGCATTTCTAGTTTGCTTTGCTCTGTTACACAATTACTTGTCACTTATAATGGTATAACATTTGAACACCAATTGGTAAAGTTTTGCCTTCAAGTTCACTGATTTTGTTTGATTATTGAATAAAATAGTTTAGAAATAAAAAGTTCATGTATAGCTGTTGTTGGTGTCGATATTGTTTTGTGACAGGGGTGTAGTGTATGTGAGAGCGTTTCAGTTGGGTATCTGAGAAGTAATCCAAAGTTGCATCTCACATAACTCCCTCTTCCTCGTATAATAACATCCGTGCTCAGGTGATCATTGTGGTACCAACTGTAAGCAAACCAAAAGCCTTGATGAGATTGGTAATGTCAACTATACTCAATAAAATTGGTCCAACACACATCACAAAATGTAACATCTGACACATGTTGATGAGATATGCTGGATGAGACGATCGCTGGGACGATTAACCGTCAACGATTTGAATTTTTTAAAAAATAAAGGATGCGAGTATTTCATCGACGAGTTGAGGAAAGCTGGTTTTCAGGGCAATGACTCCATGAAATAGACAGAGCCAACACTTGCTGCAAGACTTGCTTTTAATTTCTTTGTACATGTTTTGGTGTGTTTACTGTGTTTAAGAGCAACCCAAGTACTCCCTAAAGAACCTAAAACCAAGTCAGTCTGCTCAGTGATCAAGGTGGATGCAGCGTTGTTGGCGTGAGAGGTTGAAGCATCCCGCAGCGCGTGTCCAGAAACATGAAAACAGCAGGTTTCAACTACCAATAGTTAGTACAAAGGCACGGCAAAGTGCAAAGCAGCACAACACGATAACAGATGAAAGAAAGAAAGCTAATTAAAATTCCATTTGTCATGCTGTCTGTTGATCATTTTATCTATATCCTTTACACCACTATCAAAGGGTGTAACTTCAAACGAATACTTCAGTGAACAAAAATCTTTTCCCCAGGAAGGACCCATCCTTAAAATTCAATTAACACTGTTTAGAAATAAACATGGGAATTCTATCATCTTAATACGGATTTGCATGCTCCCATTTTTCTCCACACCGAGGAAGCAAATCTGAAATGGGAAAGGAAGTGTTGTGAATATCTCCTCTTCCAGTTCAGATTTTGCATAAAATTAAACGAGAGACAAAAGGAAGACGGCTTATCTTTGTGTTCGATGCCTTTTCTGTACATCTTGCTCATTTACTGTACTTTGCATATATCTGCGGTTGAATTCTTCAAATGAGTCCATGCACTATAGACTGGGAGAATTAGCTTTGCCGCCTTGTGGCTGCTGAGAATTCAGCCGGTTGCTCATAAAAAAAAAATTAAAAAAACCTTAAATACCATGTAATGGAATTATCTTTTGAATTGCCAAATTAGTTAATTAGCATCTACAGTCTTCACTGCTGATATCACATGCACACAAAGTGTTTTTGCAACAGGTTTAAAAGAGGGTGTGCTTTTATTTTGTACAGTTGTGCTTACCTGCAGTTTTTTTTTTTTTTTTTTTTTTGTCGTAACAATAAGGCTTTTTATCTTCATGGTTAACGTCATCCTTGATGATGTCTCCTGCAGGAAAGTTGCAAAGTGTTCCTTAGAACAATAGAGATTGTTCTTCATCAAATACTTCCATGAGTATTTCATGTTAATTCATGTAGGCGTGTACCGTGCAATGAAAAACAGAGCAACATTTTTAAAAGGCCAGTCAAATGTGGACTGAAACCAATCACTGCATCTCTCTCTCTCTCTCTTTCGCTCTCTTTCTCTCATTCCATCTTTCATTCTCTCCTTGGCTGGTCATAGCTATTCATTAGCTTCAGCCCCTATGGCAATGAGAGTCTTTAACCTCCATTAGATCTAATGTTGATATGTTTCCCCAGCAAAGAGCCAAAACAATTAACACCCCTTCTCACATTTCTCTCCCTTTGGCCCCTAACCACATCAAAACCTGGGCCCACCCGTTCATTACCTACCTCTGAGAGTGCCCCTGGGAAGTAAAAAGTCAGAGGCTTGGCTGTTGTCTTTTGGATGGTAAGCAGTAAAGAAGCCAGAATAAGTTAAAGGACACTCGCCCACAATAATGAAGTGGCATTGTTTCTGCCCCGGTGTGGTTACAACCGCTATTCATCTAAGATACAAGTATTTTGACATGTTTTTCACAATGCAGTACAAGCATTCAGTGAGTGGGGTATGCTATTACCTGCGGTCTGCTCAAACTGTTCGTTCATTTAAACCAGGGGTGTCAAACTCAGGTCCTGGAGGGCCGCTGTCCTGCATGTTTTCCAAGTCTCCCTGTTGCAACACACCTGATTCAAATGAACAGGTTCAATGTCAGGCTTCCGCAGAGGTTGCTGATGATCTGATCATTTGAATCAGGTGTGTTGCAACAGGGAGACTTGGAAAACATGCAGGACAGCGGCCCTCCAGGACCGGAGTTTAACACCTATGATTTAAACCAAGGCTGAAAACATCATTGTTTCCTGCAGTATTATTGTGATACGATCCTTTATTCTCTTAATCACCATTTGCATGCTATTGTGTAATTTATCTCAACTGATGCTTGGCTTTAATCATTTTTATTTTATTATTTTAGATTATTTTATCATGATTTTTACAATGTTCTGATGATATTGTGTTTCCTTTTCTGAAATTCCTTCAGTGTTTTATGAAAAGCACTTTGAATTGTCTTGGACGTGTTATTTGCTTTCCAAATGAACTTGCAATCTCATCAGAAACCGGAGCGCCAAACCGGCCCACCCTTCCTCCCTTCATGTCACTGCTATTCAACTGGTTGCCTAGCCCTTCACAAACCCTGAGACGCCTGCTGCCGCTAGGGAAGAACCAATGCAACTGAGTGGAATGCGCCCCACGGGTTGCACAGGTCTTTGCATATTTTGTGGCAACTCCGGGCAGTGCCCACTCTGAACCAAGTTAGTCTCTGGACTTGCCCCACCCACTAAGTGCCATTGACGGAACCCCACTTGAAACTGTGACACTACTGTTTCCCTTTCCCTGTTCTGGCAGCGCACAACCTGCGGCAGCCACCCATTCCTGTTCCGGTGGTGCACGACCTGCGGGTGCCATCTGTTCCTGTTCCGGCGACACACAACTTTCAGCCAATCACTTGTTCTTAGTCCGATGGCAGATGTCCTGCGGCCGCCAGCTGTTCCTGTTCAGGTGGCACACAACCTGCAGACGCCACACCTTTCTGTTGTGGCTTCGCACAACCTGCGGCCACCAGGCGTCCTTGTTCCAGTGGTGCACATCCCGCGGCTGCCACTGTTGTGACTGATTGTGACTGTGTTTTGGGTTGGGTGATTGATGTTGTCAGTTGCGATGGTCCTTTCCATATGTTGTCATATTTATTTTGTCATACAGGATTTGGTCGGGCCTGATGTCTCTCAATATTTAAACTTGAGTTACTCAGTGTAGTGACATGTTGAGGTCAAGTTTTCTTCCATGCCTTCTGAATCCAGCCTTGCTCGATGTTGTTCATGTTTTTGTGGTCTGCATTCAGCCCTGGTTGTTACTTCGTATTTTTGTATGTACGATAATATCCACTTCTGTGTCCTGTCTGCTTCTGGGTCAAAATACAATAAGTGTTACGGTAAAGAAATGCTAGTAAAGAACAAAGTGAGATGGACCGCCTTCCTGTGAAGATCTTCACCAAACATCCACTTTGAAAAGTCCAAAAACTGACAAATGCTAACATGAAGCAATGTCAGGATTAGAGAGCCTGGTCAACAACACAGCGGCCATCAAATATGTGGCGGGATTTTACCAATCACAGAACAACGGGGTGATTTCGAAGAGTGTCCAGACTTAAAGGAAAAAGCAGGGCCCTCACTAAATACAACACTAATTTGACTTAGGGTACAGTAAAATGATACACAAGTAGACCACACGTACACCTGCTATTACACTACAAGACAACACAAACAACAACTAACATTAACAACCAAATGCATAATTAGCAACAATGATTTACAAATACCGCTAGGCATGCTGAGATGCCTAACATCGAAACTGCATATGCCAGCATGCCGAGCGGCATTTTGTAAAATAGCGTTAGGAATTTATTATTCAATTAGTTGTTTTGTGTTGTTCTCCAGGAGTTGTAGTAGTAGCTGTGTTTGCGTTTTTATTTACAGTGCTTGTTATATGTCATGCTGTTATTTTGTTTGCACCGTGAGCATGGTTTGTATCCTATTTAGTGGCCAACGTGTTAATTCTTACAGATGGGCAGGATTGGATGTGTACCTGCATATTTTGCACAGGCCAGTTAGGGCCATTGTGCAACCCTATCGACATGATATGCACACCTACACACTGACTTTCATTTGTTGGAATTTGAAATGAGTTTAGTCGTTAATATTGCAGGTTGGATATACAAAGTTCAGCGTTTTTGAAAGAGACCATTGGAAATGCTTACATCTATATTTCTTCATGGATTCAAAGTGAAATTGCAACCTAAATATACTCTGTCTAATTTCCAAAACACAGGACTTTTATGATCATGAACAACCAATCAGATTGTTCTAATGTCACACAGTGCATGTGTGACATTAGCATGTAGGGAATTTTGCATAATATGGAGAGTTTCACTGTGTATAATTTTTTTTTTGGGGGGGGGGCATTTCTACTCACCGGCAGCATTTCTCAGCATCGAAATACATCCAGCTTCTAAGGAATTAAAAATCTAATGAAGAAATACTAGTTGTAGGGCTGTCATGATTTTACGAGACCCAGAATAGGTCTCATTTATGGGCCAGGAAATTCCTAGTTTCCTTACCTAAAGGTGTGGTGCAGTTGCCTGAGTATCAAATACCTCACTGTAACACCAATGCTCCTCTGACTTGAGCCCACTTCTTAATAGTTTGGTCATTGTGACTCAGGTCGCGTGTTGGTTGGAACTCAGCGCAATACTAACAAGGGGACTGATGGGTTGTGTTGTTCAATTCGTTTTCAACTAATCTCCTCTGCTGGGGGGGCTGACTTTTGGTTTCAACACTTAATTTGATAATCTACGTGAAAGGCACAAAAGGGACATTCTGCAGATTCTTAACCTTTCCTCAACTTTGGCACTCCCAGAGGCAGGAAAGGAGTATCTTTCACCACAGTTATTAGTTCGCAGAGACACCCTTGACCTCTGAGGTGGTAGCCAACCATCAACAGAACTGCTGTTATTGTAATACAGGTTCAATATGACTTCTACCCGTAGTGGAGTCATTCAAGTCTGGATTTTGCCTCAGACGTCATATAATGCAGCCTGAGCTCATGCATCGTTAGACCAACTGAGAAAAAAAAAAGTATATATGTCGGTATCATCAAACTTTGACTGATTAATAAAAATATGATAGAAATATATATGGTGTGCACTTTCCATTAGAAAATACAAATAACTACTAATATTTTGGTGCACATCCCCTGCATGACAAACCACACAAAAGACTAGCATATAATTTCTTATCAAAGAAAATGTTTTCAAATTATTTATGAGTTTCTCAACAGCCTGACAGATCATATTTTTGATTTGTATCCCAGCATTGGCTAAAGTAAACAACGTACGTATACAGGATGTTCTTTTGGTGGACTGTTTAAGTGAGAAGATAAAATTACAGCTGATAAGAATTATTCCATGCTGAGTACAGTAATAGAACAATTAGGGTGACTTACACAGTCGCTGGATGTGGCCATTAAGGCATAACAGCTAATGAAGAGCCTCCTGTAGATTTACATGATAAAAGTATCAGATACGGGAAGCCGCAGGATTTACTGCATTGTCACAAACTGGGCTGGAATCACATCTTTAGCGTAATAAGCGTAAAAAAAAAAAAAAAAGAAGAGATTCACGGAGGTAGTAGCTGGAGGAGTGCTTAGATCATTTGGAATGTTAAAGAAACACGATTTGGTCTGTTTCGAGGTTATTATTATTATTATTATTATTATTATTATTATTTTCAACTACAAATGGTATTATTACAAAATGTGTTTTCTAATTTTATTTTGCATTAATCTAAACTATTACTTATTTCTTTTTATCCCTTATAAGTAACAACCCCACCTTTCACCCACCCACCTTTAGATTTGCACACACACACACACACACACACACACACACACACGCACGCACGCACGCACGCACGCACGCACGCACGCACGCACGCACAATCGACAAGCGACACACACACACACACACACACACACACACACACACACACTTTCCAGTGGGTTATCACAATCCACCACCCCAACCCCCCCTTTCTGATGTGTTACCTAGATTACCATCAGTGCCCCTCAGATATTTTTTTAACAGATCCTCGACGCTCGCAATATCCACTCGGAGCCATCTGGTGCAGATCAGAATCTACTGACTTCTTGGGCTTCAGTCGTTAACGGTATTAAATCTAGATCTGGAATCCCCCCCCCCTCTTTTTTTTTTTTTCTTGGGAGATGGGTGCTGTAAGAATCAAATGTACTAATAAAAAACATTACTGTTGAAACATGAACACATCTTCTCCAACGCTATGGATGTGTCAGGAAAGGGCAGGAAAGGAAATAAGAGGTTAGATTTTTTTACCCCACCCCCTCTGTTTGCTGTAAATTGGATAAACGGTTCAAGAGGGGGTAAAATAAACAACCTGATTTTTTTTTTCCTGATGGAACTACAGTTCAATTAAATGTATCATTCATATAAACGTGACATTACGTAAAATGCCTTTGACAAATAAAAGGTTCATATCAGTCGTTAAAAATATGCAGCCACATTTTTATGTGGTGTAAAGCTCATTCAGAGACTTGTATAGAATTTGCAGCCTGGTGTCTCTTTGAGTTTGTCCCTGCAGCTTTTTCCTCATTCCTTTTGAAAGCAGCGAGAGAGAAAAAAACTGAAGTGGCTCCGCCGTTACAAAGGACAACAACAATCTGCTTTAAGTTCACAAAACACACACACACAAAACACACACAGATGGAGAGAGGGAGAAAGTCGGAAGAGGAGGTGTGTGTGTATGCGTGTGTGTGTGCGTGTGTGTGTGTGCGTGTGCGTGTGCGTGTGTGAGAGAGAGAGAGAGAGAGAGAGAGAGAGAGAGAGAGAGAGAGAGAGAGAGAGAGAGAGCGTGTGTTTGCGCGCGTTGGCTCATTAAACCATTAAGAAATCAAAAGCGACTACAGCGGTGGTCAATTAAAACTGTTGCACATAAATTACTAAATAACAGAATAATATTTTAGGTGACCATGTGTAAAAAAAAAACGTACAATAGTGAATTAAATTCAGATGAAGTCGTTAGTTAAATCAGTCTGTAAAACTTCTGGAGTTGTAAATGTGTGAGACAAAAATCATGATATCAGTATGAAGTTAGACATCAGGAATTAAACCAACCACCCCGTGATACGCAAGTAACTAATTCCTGCAGACGACTTTGATTACAATTTAAATGTATTCCAAATACGTTCCTTCCTCCGACGGGTTTACTTCCCCTGTTGTCGGACAGCTGTAAAATCGGGTCGACAGGTTGTCATACAACAATCAAAGCCGTCGTTGAATGGACTCTAAAGCTTGAACATTTAACATACAATAAGTCCAAACACGGCTGGAGAGAGAAAGGGTGAGGGAGAGGCGATAGAGCAAGGAAAGCGAGAGGGGAGAGAGCGGCCTCAGCCAATGTGTGCTCACTCCATATTCACATTATCCCACATTGCTCCAAACTAGGAGGAGCTTGTCGGCTCAAGTAGGGGATGCCAATCAAAGCTTCAACTTCAAATTGTATCTGAGAGATCAGCCTGGAGACCTCAGGGCCAGGCGCGTCAGTCTGTGCGCAATTGGTGATCACATCACATCCAAGCGGACTTTGAGCAAGCCAAAGAGAGAGGAAGCTGAGATTTAAGAGAGTCTTGTTTCCACTGCCTGCCGCCGCATGTCAGTAGTCGCTCTCACTTTGCCTTGAACACTTTCCCCTTCAACTCATCTGTTTTTTTTTCCTTCTTCTTCTTTTTAACCTTCGTGCCCACTTTTTTTACGAACAGTTTGTGGACGTTCCGCGCAGTGCAGAGCGTCAACCCTGCGGTGGAAGATGTCTTTCCCCCAGCTAGGCTACCCGCAGTACTTAAGTGCCTCCCAGGCGGTTTACGGGAGCGAGAGGGCGGGAGTGCTCACGCCTTCATCCCGGGGAGGGAGCACCGAAATCGGAGGGAGTCCGTCAGCCACCGCCGCGGCCGTCACGTCCGTGTTGGGCATGTACGCCAACCCGTACGCGCACAACTACAGCGCTTTCTTACCTTACACCAGCGCGGATCTGGCTCTTTTCTCACAAATGGTAAGAAGTCGTGTTTCAATGTTCGTCGATCCCTCGCGTTGTAAAGACTTTTAAAAAGCCTCCTCAATTTTACGCAACCTAAACAATTGATAGATGCATGCCAAATAATGACATGCGTTTGCGGTCTAAATTGTTTTCCCTCCCACTTTTAGTGATAGTGTTTTGAAGTATTTAAAGCGTTAACCAAAGCCAAAGAAAAAAAAATAAAGTGACAGCTGTCCTTGTTATTGTATGAATAATAATCATAACAGCCAGTAAATATCAGTAGATGTTAAAATTTTATACAGCTCGTTGAATAAAAGCGGGGCTTTTATTTCAAGCGCACAATAAATTGTTTTCAAGCTCCGATGGGACTTAGGACAAAATATTATTCAGCCGTTATTTACACATGATGTGTCCATTCTCTTGAAGTAAAGGATTATTAGAATTAAATAATTTTGAAGGTTGAAAAAAAATGGTATGAACGAACGCATGAAAACACGTGCCAAAACGACCGAAAAGATTACTTTTATTAAATGCTCGATTTGATCTTTATATGATAAAAATATGATAATAATTTTTAGTTTAAAAGAGTAATTTCATAACACATTTTACTCCATGCTTTGACATACTTGAGAAAAGTTTTGAAGTAGGCCTACTCATGGAAGTTTGTTGTGAAGAAGTGCAGAACAATAAAAGCAGCATTCTTTCATTATGGAAGTTATTCAACCCAATATTTATCTACTCATGCAATTTTAATTACATGTGACGCAGGCAAGCATGTGCTACAATTGTGCTTATTTAAAATAATATCATCATGACGTGTGTTGTTCCTCTTCAAGGGATCCCAGTACGACTTGAAGGATAGTCCTGGCGTCCACCCAGCCAGCTTTGCAGCTCACACCTCTCCTGCCTTCTACCCATATGGTCAGTTCCAGTACGGGGACCCGGCCAGGCCTAAGAACGCCACACGGGAGAGTACCAGCACCCTGAAAGCCTGGCTCAATGAGCACCGAAAGAACCCTTACCCAACTAAGGGGGAGAAGATCATGTTGGCCATCATCACCAAGATGACCCTGACGCAGGTCTCTACCTGGTTCGCCAATGCCAGGAGGAGACTGAAGAAGGAGAACAAGGTGACATGGGGGAGCAGGAGCAAAGAGGACGGAGAGGATGGCAATTTGTTCGGCAGCGGGGATGAGGCAGAGAAAAATGAGGATGAGGAAGAGATTGACTTGGAGAGCATAGATATAGACAAAATAGACGATAACGACGGGGATCAGAGTAATGAGGATGATGATGATAAATCCACCGACGGGGGCACGAGGGACCACAGACGTGATGGGGATGTGGGGGGAGAACTGGACAGCTTGGAGAAAAGACGGGCCTTCACCCTGCAGGGCCACGAGGCCTTAAACAAATCAAAAAGCTCCATTTCAGTCCACCCGGGCTGCAAAGACACCTCGGACGCTACCAACAACACCACAAGAGTACTTTCTCCGGACAGACCAGGTGGCTTCCCCTTGCCCTCAAACAATAAGCCCAAAATATGGTCATTAGCAGAAACCGCCACGACCCCTGACTCTTCGGCCCAGAAACCCACGTCCCCTTCTGGTCCAGTGCCCCCCTCTCACCCTCAGATTCAAGCCCACCCCGCCTTTCTCCCCAGCCATGGACTGTACACTTGCCAAATTGGAAAGTTCCACAACTGGACGAACGGGGCTTTTCTGGGTCAAAACTCTCTTCTCAATGTGAGATCCTTTCTGGGGAGCCATCATCACCACCATCAGCACCAGAACCACCACCTGGCGGCCCAGCAGCAGCAGCCAACGTCAGTAGTGGTGTCCCCGCTTGCAGCTGCAGCGGCCCTCACCCAAGAGAGCAAGGCCCCATTGGATAGCCCCGAGCATATAGGTGAGGAGAACATGGCAACCCAACTCCCAAAATAGGACCTGACAGCAAACTCCACGCAATACACGCACAGGTCTCACATTATTTGATTATATGAATAATGACACTGACAATATTCAAACACACGTCTTCATTATTCACGCTCAAACTAAGAGGGAAAAGCGAAGGGTAATTGATGTTATTACTGTATTTCCTTTTAGAGCACGAAAATGTTGTACGGTGTGATTCGCCTCCAACACCAACACTGAAGCCTTCGTTTCGACCCCTTCATGACAGGTGAGACTCATTGTTTTCTCTTATAGAATTTAAGAACTGTTCGAAAAATAAAACGTGCCGTTAAAAAAAAAACAAAAAAACTACTAATTATTATTTTTAAAACGCGAATTAACAGCAAAAATCGGTGCAAATTCCATTCGTTAAATAGACGGTGTTTTATTAAATGTGCGCCCCAGTTTTAGATCGTGGTCGATGCACAACACGGATAATTAGTGGACAGGAATACAAAGACGAGAGAGTAAAACAAATAAAGCACAATTTGCTTTGCGAGTGACAGGGGTCTTGACTCTCATCCCACACCCCCTTTAATTCCTCCCCCTGCGGGGATAGTGTGGCTACTTATCAAGTCACCGAGTAAAACGGGCTCTGTCTGGGCTGTGCTTTCGCTAAAGACCCCTGGGAGTCCAGGAGCCCATGGGAGCGCTCTCAGAGAAAGAGGAAAGAAAAAGGTTTACCTCTGTTTCAAGTACAAAATAGCCCCCTTCCCCACTCATTGTGGAGAAATCGTATTTAGATTCGTTTAAGTTGAAATCGCATTTGACTTTTTCAGCAGGATCGGATTGCCATAACGTATTATTATTATTATTATTATTATTATTATTATTATTATTAACGTAATATTTATTTTTTTTGGCTTTGTTTAGATCATCCCTGCCTTCTAGCGCGAGGAGTCAACAAGACGCTCCACAACGGGTCCTCACCGCGCTCCCTTCGGCTTGAGTTTTCTTTTTTCCTTTTTTTCCCGTGTGCTTGAAAAGAAGACAACGAAAAAAAAAAGACTTCGCCCCCGCCCCCCCCCCCATCCAAAAAACGGACAATGCGAAATTATGAAGCAGCGTAGCATTCAGTCTTTGCAGCCGGCGCGGAGCAAAAGGCATTATTTGGTAATATCCTGTGGATGGAAAAATGGATGTATGAATACTTCTTCTGTTGTTGTGCAGCCTATAATTGCGCCTGTACTGTTAATCTATCTCCCAATTTTACCCAGACACACTGGGAAACTTTTGGTAGGCTTTTTACTTTGTTATTATTATTAATATAATATTATTATATCTTGTGTTTATGGTGTCCTTCTTTAATGTAAATATCACGTGTTGAAATTTGTAAATAGGAAACCTTGAAGGAATTCGTTCAAATCGTATATTTTGCCTAATAAACTAAATATTGGAATTATAAGGAAACAAAAAGTCTGTATTATTATTATTATTATTATTATTATTATTATTATTATTATTATTATTATTATCATAGATTGCGACCGTGTATTATTAATTGAATATGTATTGGGTGCAGGGAGAAAAAATATTGGCAGTCTATTACCATGCTTAATTTTATTCAAGTTTTGGAGGAAAGCAGCGTGGATGCATTGAGGTGCTAATAAGTGTCCAGATGGTTGCTGGTGACAGAAAATGGACAGGAGCAGCTGGGAAGGTCATTAAGTAATAATATGGGAACGCCCAGTCCAAACAAAATCAAATGGTTAAAATCTAATCTGTCAGAGAGAGACGTCGATTCGAAGATAAATTATTAATATTTTCTTTTTTTATTTCATCGGGGGAGGGGCAGACTGACATCGTAGATGTTGGGAGCAGGGTGAGTGCTGTCTGTGCGGAGGCTGATAATGATCATGAGACTATAAATCAACTTTTGGGTTACCCCGTCGATAACCAAAAGCACGCATTGACAAACAATAATTGCCACATTGAGTTAAAGTGAGAGGGTGTTTTTTTATTGTGTAAATTGCATGTTTCAAATATATAATTGTATATTTTACACCACATTAATATTCGCCTCAAGTTATGTTTCAACGTTGTAATTACCTGAATTAGGTTGAAACAATATTTTAGGTGACAACCGGGAATGTATTATTATTATTATTATTATTATTATCTTTTATTTAAATGAGCATTTTTGTTGGTTTTGATAATCTGCAAATTGAACCGTTCCGATGGATTTATGACGTTCATTGCCTAAAACCAAATCAGTTTTGCTATATCACAGCGACCTCTATAGGCAGGAGACGGAACCCCTTTTTTTCAACTTGAAAAGCGCAATAAATGCTGTTACATGACCATTAGTGGCTAATTGTATGGATGGAAATTTAACTTAAACATCGAATAGTTCAACGTATTTGGTATCATAGATGCTCAAATAATACAGGTATATCGAAAAAAAAAACAACAAAAACATTTTATTTAATTCCAAATTCAGTCCATGTTATAAACCATTACGTTTCAAGCCTTTTGGGGGTTTAATTTTGAAAAGTGTTTTAGCACTCATGATCACCAAAAGAAACTGCATGTCAAATCACTGTAATATTTAATGGCAAAATTAAATCACTATGTATGCGGTATAGTGGAAATCGTTATTTCAGAATCAAAGAAACAAAGTGCCAAAATGTAGATGATATTCCAATTATGTGTTTGGTTACAGCTCACAAACTAACGAACTAATTAAGCAGCTAACTAACTAACTAACGAACTAACTAACTAACTACAATATTTTAAATAATTAAATCAATTTATGAAAAATTATTAGTGTAGATATTAAAGCATAAATTTGTGTGAGAATAAAAAGTTATAACAAACTAACATTAGTTGTAGATGCTGCATGTTAGTCAAAATTGTTGCCCCTAATATATTTCCAAAAGGAGTTGTCCGGACTGCATCGTAAAGTGAGTGCTCTCGCTATGAGGTGAAAGGGGAGATGTCTATGTACATAAATCTGTGTCACTTAAATGGCGATTGCTTTTTACACAGCCACGACCAAGTTGAAAAATTGACAAAAGTTCAATGAAGGTTGAACAGGGTCATTCTGCTCTTGTAGTCGTATGAAAACAAATATATATTTGCTGAAAAAACAGCAAAGAAATAGAAAGTGTTTTGCCCACACATGGAGAAATGAAAATATCATGAAATGTAAATATTCACTTTCACGTGAGTTTTTTACTTTATTATTTTTTTGAGGGGGGGGGGATTATTTAAAACTGGGATTCACTTAGTTCCTGTAATTCTGTCCAAATTAGACTAACAGTAATGTGATGACCAGACTAAATCTGGGCAAGTTCAGGTAATATGCACTGACACCGTCTTTGGGAACAATAATGTGCATTCATATTGTTGCCAAAAAGGCAGGTGCGTAAATTTTCACTTTCCCCTCTTTGCAAAAATCCACTCGTGAGCTGTCTGTTTAAGCAGAAATTAAATAACCTCTCTGTGTCCCATTTAGTTCCTTTGTTGTCATACAGCTTCAGGTTTGAGCAAAGACGTTAGCTGCAGGCCATAATGTTGTGTTCCCATAATATATACAAAATTATTCATTTAGGAAGGGATGTACTGTGGATTGTCTAATGCGTAATGAGCAGGTTTGGAGCTGATAATTAGGCTGTCATTTTCAGCCATTGCTTCCCTTTACACCCCGGGCCACAATTCATGGAGGAATTAAAACACACACACACACACACACACACACACACACACACACACGCACAAAGAACATGAATTAAAAAGATGAGGATCTCGAGATATGAATTTAAATAAATATAGATATATAAGCACTTGGGGATTATGGACTGTAAATATGAATACAATTAAATGTCTTTAATAGACTGAAGCTACTGCTTGAATGTTTATCATACGAGATGTGTGTTAATGTCAAATGTGTGGAAAATATTTTAATTAGAGCAAATATCAACAAGGACGTGTATTTTAAATCAAATTGCCTCTTATTAATAAAACAGTATAAAAGACACGAAGAGCTAACAAACAAATTAAGCCAAGGGACGACAACAGTTTCTGCTATTTCCACGTAAGGGCTGCCGTCTGAAACCGAAGAGCTATGCAAATTGTGGCTCATCCAAAGACAATAACTTGTTGACCCTAAAACAATTTAGCATTCTGTCGCAGGCTGTCCCCCCCATGTTACCACTGTCCTTTGTTGGCGAACAAGGACCATCTCCCCCTGCAACTGAGACATGTCATAGTGTGGCAATCCATTCATTTTAGGGCTGAATTGTGTTTGTGACACTAGTGTGTGTGTGTGTGTGTGTGTGTGTGTGTGTGTGTGTGTGTGTGTGTGTGTGTGTGTGTGTGTGTGTGTGTGAGAGGCAGCTCGACTGAAGGGGGGAAAGGTGACTGCATGGGGAGGAAAGTTTATCACTGTCTTGTCTTTTTTGGCAGCACAACAGACTCGACCCCTTGTTGTCCAACACAAATGTCTTTCCCTCTTCCTCTCCCTGCTCTCCTCTACCAATCCCCCCTTCTTCACTTAAACATCTCGTTTGTCTATCCTTGAGGATGCCCGCCCATACCCCCCCACCCCCTCTAATCCATTTATCTGGTTTCATGAGTGCTCCACTGGTTGAAGACCGACACAAAAGCCTTGTCAGCGTGGCCTCAGCAGTGGGAAACACAACAACAACACGCTACAAAAAGTTAGCTGCGGCCACAGCAGGGCCGCTATGGAACCCTGATCCACGTCGTGTTCTGCCCGCTTCTTTGCCTCGTTGTTCCTGTGACACAATGGCAGTAAAAAAAGCAACGGATGCCTCAGTCGCAGGCTTTTCTTTCCAGAAGTGGTATGCCGCTATAAGACACTCACTCCTGCCAATGGAGGAGGGTTAGAGTAAGGGGAGAGAATGTGTCAGGGGTTCTCGGCACGGCTACACTCAAACACAAATAGAAACACAGAGCCGGTACTTGCCCGACTGCTCGTTCAACAACTCAGTGACAACTCAACAACCCATGTAGACCCCCGCTGACACAAAAGCTTGGCCTGGCATCTAGGTAGCGTACACTTGAAAATAAACACTGTCTGTAGCTCATGTTGTTGTGTGGTTATCTTTTATATGGCCACCCCAAGTGACGTTCTCATGTTTTGATCGAGCAAGAAAGACGTTACAAAGCAAGGCAGAGGGACGAAAGTTTTCTCCGTCTCAGATGAACATTCTTTCTGACTCCAAATCAAGAACACACCCAAGCTTTTTTTTTTCCACTCTTCAGTGATACAATATGCTTCTCTGGCGCTCAGTCAACACGCTGTGCCAAATACCGGGGCATTAATTAGCAGGCCTAATATCCAAAATATTCACCTCGAATCTGATGTATGGTTGAAATAATCTATTTTAAGAGACCTCAGTTGAACACGCAGGTTCATTATTATCTCCTTGTTTGCTACATGTTTGTTGATCAAAGTTGTTTCTTCGTGTCTGTTTTTTTTAAAAGGGGCACTGACAGGCCAACAAGCACACAAGCACCCTCATGTTCCGAGTCGCAAAATCCGGGCGAGCTCCTGTTCCATTAATGAGTCCCGCAACCAATTAAAGCAAGTCTACAGCAAGTTCTCCTGAACGATCTGTACACAACAGTACCACAGGATCAGCACTATATTTAGGGAAGGGAGAATGCATTTGTGATTACCTCATGCGTACGCACACGCTCACACGGAAGCGCAAACAAAAACAACGCACAAAAGCTGTGTGTGTGCACAGTGTTGGTACGTTGCTTTGGAGGATCAGATTTATTTTTGCCTTAATGGCTTAATTATCCATCAGTTTGGATCCCGTTCTTCAGGGGGGTTAGTAACGATTGAGATATTTATAGCCGTTCATTGTCTCTCTGAAATTATCCACTCATCAGAAGAGAAGTTTTTACATTTGCCATTTGTTTAAAAACATCAATTAGTCAGACGGCCTGGTTGTTTGCGATTGCTTTGAAGTGAATCCCCTCCTCAAACACATTTTGACAAAGTTTTATTCTCTGTGATCGCACTTTTTAGTAGGAGAGGGATTGTTTGGAAATGTTGCTTCAACGATACGGTGGATGGCTGATACAGTTTGACAATGGTAATATGGCTATAGTCATTCTTACACCTCATAAATAATGGAAGATCGTGATTCCAATCTACAGCTTTGCTTTTAACGTTGCGGATTGTCATCTAATCAAATCAAATGAAGGACTAACATTTTCACTTCAGTAAGTTAGGTGACAATGTGCGTGTTTTCAATTTATGACAAGGAAGCGAGGGGCACTGCGCCCCCGTTTCGACTCTGCGCAAACAGTAACTCAGCGACAGATAATAAAGTCAGATTTTTTTTTCCTGCCTTCCTTTCTGATGTTATG